CATTACATTAAATATTACATTACATAACATTACATTACATTACATTACATTAAATAGCATTACATTACATTACATTACATAACATTATATAACATTACATTACATTACATAACATTACATTGCATTACATAACATTACATTACATACATTGCATTACATAACATTACATTACATAACATTACATTACATTACATTACATAACATTACATTACATACATTGCATTACATAACATTACATTACATACATTGCATTACATAACATTACATTACATTACATACATACATACATACATACCACTTTATTTATAAAACACTTAAAAACAGAAACAAGGTTGACCAAAGTGCTGTACAGCAGAAACAAACAAGTAAAGGACACAGCAAAAAATACATAGATCCAAATGGAAACGATAATAACTAACATTGTTGAATACGACAAGTTAAAAACAAACCCCACAGCGTCAAAAGCCAGGGAGTAAAAGTGGGTTTTTAAGCGAGACGTAAAAACAGTGAGAGAAGGAGCCTGCCTGACATGCAGTGGTAACTCATTCCACAGTTTTGGACCTGCAACAGAGAAGGTCCTGTCACCTCCTGAAGACGGGTTCCTGGAACCAATAACAGCATCTGATCTGCTGAGCTCAGAGAGCGCTGTGGGACATGTGGCTGCAGCAGATCAGCAAGATAAGAGGGGGCAGAACTGTTCAGAGATTTAAAAACATGCAAAAGAATTTTAAAATGAATTTTAAAATGAACCGGGAGCCAGTGCAGGGAGGCCAAAACTGGTATAATGTGCTCTCTTTCGCCTGTACCAGTTCAAAATCGGGCTGCAGCATTTTGGACCAGTTGTAATCGTGCAATGGAGGTCTGACTGATGCCAAACAGAAGTGCACTGCAGTAATCAAGCCTGGATGATATGAACACATGTGGTACTGTCTCAAGGTTATTTTTGGACAGTATGGGCTTCAGTTCAGACACTCACCTCAACTGAAACAAACAGGATTTAACAGCCTAGTTTACTGAACATGACTGTTTAGTTTCAGGTAAGGGTCCATTTTCACTCCCAGATGAAATGTTCAAAGAAGTTTGTGTTTTTTTACCTTTTATTTTGTATTTTTTGAATCTGTCCAGAGGACATGACTTAATTTTGTTACATTTTCTACCTGGATTATTGCACACGCATCGGGATATTTACAGAATAACAATACCAGCCAGCAGGTGACATACATATAATTTACTGTACACTACAATTCTTTCTGTTTATCTTTCAGATTATGATGCTCCCTTGTCTGAAGCTGGGGACTACACCCCAAAGTACCACCTCCTCAGAGATTTACTGTCTCGATACAACAGTAAGATCACTTGGAGCATACAGAGCATGAAATGAACGCTCTTACTGACTTTATTTCTGACCTGTGTGCAGCAAGAGAAGACAGTTTCCCAGACATGCCAGCACTGCGCTACAGAGAGGCGTATGAACCTGCCATCGTGTACCAGCACCTGTCTTTATGGGATGCTTTAAGCTTCACTGAGGGGGTCTGTTTCACAAGCATCATTCAGAACCAACAACTATTTCAATCTGAAACAAGTTGTTTTTTCTAGTCGAGTCATTTTTTACCATTTCTCTGCAGCCTTTTAAGTCACCAAGGCCAGTAAACATGGAGAATCTACCCTCAAACAATGGAAACGGCCAGTCTTATGGCTACACGCTGTATGAGACAACCATAACCAGAGGAGGAAAACTGAAGTCAGGCGACAATGTTCGAGATCGTGCCCTGGTGAGTCCCTGCCACCGCTCGTGAACATGATGTCTGACACTAGTTTCTTACATTCTGAGCTCTGTTTTTAGAACAACTGAACACATTTTAAAACATTTGAAAAATTAAACCTGAACAGTTCTGACCTGTTAATAAAAAACAGTTTGGACTTTTCACTCAGTGTTCTGTGGATGCATCAGTAATCACTATCTTACCTGCAGTAGAAACTGCTTAGAGCATTTTCAGTTACCATCTGTAAAAAAACATTAAAATAAAAATCCCAACTATCCCTTTAAAAGGACAGTCTGGTCTTTTCTAAATTAATAATCTGTTCTGTCCTTATCAGTAGTGAGTACTGTATCAGGTGTAACGTCCATCATAGAGCACAGAGGCAAACACTTTCATCCTGGCTAGGCTAATGGCTAGCCAAACGAGGGCCCATTTTATATAATTTTTCAGATTATAAAACAAACGGAAAACACATACCTGTGGGAAATCACACTACATTAGCTCGTTTTAAACCTCTAGACTTTTGCATGAGACCATTTGATTATTTTGTTGCTGCTTTTTGGAGTACAGTGGGGAATTTGAAATGCACTCCATCTGTCTGCCTGTCTTGTGGGCAGGATATATAAAAACAGGTAGCAACTTCCATTTTGCTGTGTAAGAAAGGTCCCGGGCAGCACGGTGGCGCAACTGGTAGAGCTGCTGCCTCTCAGCGAGCAGGTCCCTGGTTCAAACCCCGGTCCAGGGGCCTTTCTGGGTGGAGTTTGCATGTTCTCTCCGTGCATGCGTGGGTTTTCTCCGGGTACTCCGGTTTCCTCCCACAGACCAAAAACATGCATGTTAGGCTGATTGGTAACTCTAAATTGTCCCTAGGTGTGAGTGAGAGAGTGAATGGTTGTTTGTCTCGTTTGTCTCTATGTGGCCCTGTGATGGACTTGCGACCCGTCCAGGGTGTACCCCGCCCCTCGCACAGTGATTGCTGGACATGGGCACCAGCGACCCCCGTGACCCAAAATGGAATAAGCGGGTAAAGAAAATGGATGGATGGATGAAGAAAGGTCCCTCTCATAAACTGGGTTGCCATGTCAGAATCCAAGGGCTGCTCCCTTATGGGGTCGCCATAGCAAATTTTCTCTCATAAAGACTTGAAGCTGGACTTGTTTTACGCCGGACGGCCTTCCTGACACAACCACAGACCACTGAGCTACCACAGCCCTCTGTGTGGAGCAGAGAGCTGCCATCCAGTGCACCCAGGGAAGCAGATGGTCGGAGTTAAGAGCCTCGCTCAAGAGCCCAGAGTGGGGCCAACAAAGGTTCTCTAACCTCTGTGCCACCATGCCCCATGTATATATATATATATATATATATATATATATATATATATATATATATTCAATTCAATTCAATTCAATAATACTTTATTAATCCCAAAGGGAAATTATTTTGTTGTTGTAACTCGTTATCCTCATTTCATTGAGAGATGTTATAGATCAGACCTGGGCGTTGTATGGCCCCAGGGCCACATGCGGCCCTTTGGTTGACTGTGACCGGCCCCCGTAAGGGGAATTACAAAATACATATGTAAACAAATGAAGTTAACCAAATCCAGATATAGATCCTCTCTCAATAATGATGTCAGCTTTGCTTCACATCTCCACCTCAGACCTTCAACCTGACTTGAACATTTCCGTTAAAGCCCAACAGAGACTAGACTTCTCTCACTAAACAATAAAAAAGAACTGAAAAACACCAAATGAGATGTTTAGACTACAAATGTAGGCACGTAAAGAACCGGGACTAGAAATCACAGTTCAGTGACGATCACTATTATATGATGTTTCATAATATTTGGAGTACAAAGACAATATTGTGATATATTTACAAAGCTAAGAACTTTTTCCAGCAGTATATAAAACTCAAAATGAGTTTTGGGGTGAATGTGACTGAAAATGATCATTAATATAATGTCACAAATGGTAAAAATGTTAACAGTTTACCACTGTATTGGGAAATTTAATTGAATAAATGACATTTTTTGTAAGGAAACCTCGCTTTTTCGTTGCTTAATCATAACAAATACTCTTACCAGCTTGTTAAAACAGTGCTATGTACTGCTTTTAATAATGAAATACTATTATTATGCAGTATTGAGTTAATTTGAAATCAGGTCTCTCTTGTAAATGAGTCCTCGAGGCTCAATGGGATTTACCTGTCTAAATAAAGGTTGAATGAAAAAGTCATTTGTGCCAGCCCTCCACAATATTTGTTGTTTCTCATGTGGCCCCATGGAAAAAATAATTGCCCACCCCTGTTATAGATGCTGATGACTGTAGACAGGAAGGATCTCTTGTAAAGGTCCATCCCACAGTGGATCCTAAGAAACTGGCTGCAGATGCCGTCTGATCCGTCCACCCAGACTCGGCTGGCCTCTCGATTCCCCTGAACTGTAGGACCGCTTGAATGCTGGGCAGAACTCCTCCCAGAGCGATGGCCACTCCTCCCAGCAGTCTGCCGAGCTCCTCATAGCTGTGGACAGCCGATTGTAGGTGCTGAGGGACGATCCTGTCCTTCCGCTGTCGTGAGCCGTGTTTCCTGCTAGTTCCAGGATCTCAGTGGTCAGGCACTAGAGCACAGCTGGCAGGTAGATGAGAATGCGTCCACAGAACATCTTTTCAACTCATCTGAGAGTTGGGACCATAGTTGAGATATTATTTGAGCTTTTGAGATGTTATTCAGCTGCTGTTGTTGTAGAAAACAGCCTTGTTGCCATGGTTACGCATCATAACAAATGTTCAAAACTTAAAAAGTTTCAGTAAAAATCCTTCCAGCTGCACAGCATCTGATACCAGAGGAAACAATCATCCAAAAAATGTGATTTACATCCAGAAAAAGAGGAATTAAAGTTTCCAAAAGCAAAATCTTAGAATGAAAGTAACAGAGCTGCTCCAACATGCAGCCACCTTGAGCGGCGCAATTCTAGAACATATATATAATTATAATATATATATATATGTATATATATATATATATATATACAGTATATATATTCAATTCAGTTCTAAAATACTTTATTAATCTCAAAAGGAAATTAAATGTTGTAACTTGTTATCCTCATTTCATTAAGAGACGTTATAGATGCTGATGGCTGTAGTCAGGGAGGATCTCTTGTAAAGGCCCGTTCCACAGCAGATCTTAAGAAACTAGCTGCAGATGCCGTCTGATCAGTCCTCCAGGACTCAGCTGGCCTCTCGGTTCCTCTAGGCATCAGGACCACCCGAAAGTAGGGCAGAACTCCTCCCAGAGCGATGGCCACCCCTCCCAGTGGCTTGTTGAACTCCTTGTCACTGTGTGCGGACAGCTGGTTGCAGGTGCCGTGGGATGATCTCGTACTTCTGCTGTCACGAGACGTGTTTTCTGCTAGTTCCAGGATCTGAGTGGTCAGGCACTCGAGCACAGCCGGCAAGGAGACGGGAATGCATCTATGGTGCCTCCTTTTCAACTCATTTAACATTTGGGACTGTAGCTGAGATATTATTTGAGCTTTTGAGATATTGCTCACGGTTGTTAAAAAAAACAAACACCTTGTTGTCATGGTTACACATCATAACAAATGTCCAAAAGTAAAGAAGTTTCAGTAAAAATCCTTCCAGCTGCACAGCATCCGATACCAGAGGAAACAATCATACAAAAAAATGTGATTTACATCCAGAAAAAAGAGGAATTAAAGTTTTGAAAATCAAAATCTCAGAATGAAAGTAACAGAGCTGCTCCAACATGCAGCTACCCTGAGCGGCGCAATTCAAGAACCATCCATCCATCCATTTTCTTTACCCGTTTATTCAATTTTTGGGTCACGGGGGTCGCTGGTGCCCATGTCCAGCAATCACTGTGCGAGGGGCGGGGGACACCCTGGATGGGTCGCAAGTCCATCACAGGGCCACATAGAGACAAACGAGACAAACAAACATTCACTCTCTCACTCACACCTAGGGACAATTTAGAGTTACCAATCAGTCTAACAGGCATGTTTTTGGTCTGTGGGAGGAAACCGGAGCACACGGAGAAAACCCACACATGCACGGAGAGAACATGCAAACTCCACCCAGAAAGGCCCCTGGACCGGGGTTTGAACCAGGGACCTGCTCGCTGAGAGGCAGCAGCTCTACCAGTTGCGCCACCGTGCTCCCTGTACTTTCATCACAAGTCTTAATTTTATTAATAATTTCATGGATTTTGGTTGTTTCATTTTATTGCTCCTCCCACTATTGAGTTTAATGTTGTGTAGTTGAAGAACATCATAACAAATTGTGGAGCAGTGATGTTAACAACCACTGCATTTTTTTTTATCAAGTTGAGTGAATTTGATTAGAAATGAAATGATCTGAAATTGAGTTTTGTTCCTGCAGGTTTTTGTTGACAGAACCTACATTGGCCTTTTCAAGCACCAGAAGCTGGAGCTGGCTGTTCCTGATGGTAAGGTACGAACAACTCAAACACACATTTTACTGGCTGGGATAAGTGCTGACATTGTGTCTGACTGGCCATTGATGCTGCTGACCCCCACAGGCTCCACGTACCTTGAGTTTACTGGTGGAAAACTGTGGACGAGTCCACCGTGGCAGGGACCTGGACAAACAACATAAAGGTGATGGACAGAAAAGCCGGCAGCTCATTTCCAAGCTTCCTGTTTACTCAGAGGATGAACGTGTTTTGATTTGTGCTCTTGCAGGTCTGGTGGGAGACATTTTATTAAACGATGTTCCCTTGCGTGAGTTTTCAATATACAGCCTGGATATGAAACCCAGCTTTATTGATAGGTTAGTAAACTTCAATAAATTTATCATTCCTCACAACACTTTCATTTGTCTGTGATAAAGTGACTGAAACTGTATTCTCCCTCCAGCCTTTATCAGGCACCCTGGAAAAGTCTCCCTGAAAATCCTACTTTTCCTGGATTTTTCATGGGGAGGCTGTTTGCATATGGGTATCCCAGTGACACATTTGTGAAGCTGCCAGTAAGTGAAATAAAACACACACACACACACACACACACACATGCACGCACGCACGTACGCACGCACACCTGTGTAATGTAGCAGTGTGTAACTGTGTGAAAGCTTATAAAGCATTCACTCTATTGTGATCCTGTTAATATTCCTTAATATCAGAACATTCAGCTATATTTTATTTTTATTTGTTTTGTTTTTTTGTGTCTGCCTTAGTTGTTTAACTCGAAGAAATTATAAATAAAGTATTTAAAAACGTTCAGCTCTTTCAGGACAATCCTGCTATGACTTTTGGAATTGGTACAACTTCAGCTTTTTGAAATATTTAGCCTTTTCTGCCATTTTCTTCCTAAAAGAAAATGAATGGAGCTCATTTTCCATCACTCAGATCTTTAGATCTTTTTCTGCTCCTTTCACATTTTGTTCTGCTTCAGCTTCTTTCAGCTTCCTGGTGCTAATTTAAACATTTATTTCAGCTAATTTCAGCTGTTTTGTGATCCTTTCAGATCCTTTCTGCAAGTTTCAGCTTTTTTCTGCTATTTCAGCTACTATTTAGCTGTTTTATGTTAATTTTAGCTTTTTCAGCTAATTCCCCATTTTTGCACTTGTTTAAACCTTTTCAGCCTAATTCATAATAAAAATGTGCTCTCTCCACTTCCTTCTGGTAATTTAAGCTCCTTTCTGCTTTTTAGCTACTGTTAAGCTGTTTGATGCAAATTTCTGCTTTTTTCAGATACAGTAATTTCTACTTTTTTGTGCTCATTTCTGCTTCTTCCAGTCTAACTGGGCACAATTGTGCTCTCTCCACTTCCTTCTGGTAATTTAAGCTCCTTTCTGTTGTTTCACTATTTCTTGCTACTTTCGGCTTTGTTTTTTAGCTAATTTACAAATTTTTTTGCTAATTTCTGCTTATTTCAAAGTTCTTTATTGTTGTTCGCATCACATGTGGTTCATGAGGTGGAACAAAATTGTGTACACAGTGTCCCAGTTTCATCCAACAACTGCAAAAATATAAATAGTAAAATATACAATACTAAGAATCCAAGATATAAACTCTTTAAACCAAGTTCAGCAAATATGTGTTTTTTTCTGCTAACTTAGGCTTGTTCTTACATTTCAGCTACAATTCAGCATGTTTCAGCTGTTTTTCAACAAGTCATTCAGCAATAGGCATTCACACAGCATTTTCACAGATGCAGTTTCTCTAGTTAATCTATAGTGAATAAATGTGTAATACAAAGTTAACAGTCATGGAAAGGTTTATAAATCATGGAGCTAGTGAGGTTTTAAGATGGCACAAATCCACTGGATTGACAAGCTAATGGTAAGTACATGTGGGGCCAGGTTTGATTTCTGCCATCCTGAACACCTATAGTTTAAATAACTTCAATGAGATTTATTCATTTATTTTTAAACTATTATTTTTGCCCCCATCTTTACGTCACACAGTCATTTGGTCCAAAACAGCCCAAAATGTCCCATACTGTTAGCTGCTGCCGCCTCTTTACTGTTTATTGTGAGACTAGTGGTAATTTGAAGGTTTACAGAGCAGCGTTCACGAGAAACACTTTGAAATGTTTGAGATTGAAGTTGTTTTAAGATCGCACCAATTCACTGCTAGCTGGTAAATCAGGTTAGAATAACACCGTTTGTCCGAACTGGGGCCATTCAAAGATCTATCTCAAATGATTACATTCATTTGAAAGCTTTTCCAAAAAAATCATTTTTTAAACCTCTGATGTCAGGATATTTAGGATTTCATCTTTTTTTGTTGTTAGAATATTTCTGCTGGTGTTTTTTCTGTTAATCTGTGCTTTTGTTACCTGTTCAGTCAGGCAGTTAGGTTTGTCATGTTTTATCTCGTGTTAAATTTCCCTCATCTACTTTTGTCTGTCAGCCACTTGTTACTCGCTTTAAATTTTATTTATTAAACCATAATGGTTTTAAACCTGTCTGCCTGCACTCTTGGCTCCTCAACCAGTCAACTCCAACATTCAGAATGTTTGAACCATGACTTTAAGTTTGTGAACCTGAAGCAACCTTTCAGTTCATGTCAACACAATCATTATGTTCTCTTCCACAGCTGCTGTTGTGTGCAATAATTTGATGTATTGTGTGTATAAATATGCAATGAGAGTGTTTTTGTGGTTTCACAGGGTTGGGCGAAGGGTGTTGTGTTTATTAATGGGCTGAATCTGGGTCGTTACTGGTCTATTGGCCCCCAGCAGGCACTTTACCTACCTGGAGCCTTCCTCAACAGTGGAATCAACCAGGTAACACTGCTCAAACACAAGACGTCAGCGGACATGTTCGCATTTGGACAAATAGCAAAAGTTGACTTAGTTTGGTCCAGGGGTCTGCAAACTTTATGATTAAAACAGCCATTTCTGCCCCTTTGTTCACTAAATTAGCCACAATACCTGCTACAACTGGGATTCTCAACTGGTGGCCCACAGACCACTTTAAGTTTGTTGGAGGGCGCTTTTCTGGACAGTAGGGGTGATTTTATAAAACTAAAAATATCTAATGATTTTTAACATTTATTGATATTTTTACACTCTAAGACAAAATAAAAGACGAGATTCTTGTAAAGAAAGAAAAATAATATAGTTTTTGCCCAGTTTCTAAAAACTAAAACACGAAACTATGCATTCCTATGTGATTTTTTTTTAATTGTAGAAAAATTATCTATCCGACTTAGAAGAAATAAAACATAAAATGAAAGTGAGTATGTTTTACTCCTTGTAATGTTTCTAGTATTCATATATTTGCAATATAAACTACAGGAAAACTGCTAAAACTAGTCCTTTTTAGTTGTTATAACAATCAATAAAAGTCAGTTTCATGTTAGTTTTGGTCAAAGCTTGAAAGAGCCACATGTGGCTCCAGAGCCGCAGGTTGCAGACCCCTGGACTAGTTTAATAAAACAAAACTATTTATTTAATCTGACCAAACTTAAAAGGTTTTAAATTTAAAAAAAAAATCAAACATTATTTGGGATGTTCTTTAAAATTCTGTGGATCTTTAGCTGAACAGTTATGGTAAAAATAATTACATCACATTTAATTTCTAACTTTTACATAAATTAAATGATAAAGAACTAAAGCAGATTATTTTTAATGGAAAAGCAGATGACTTTTAAGTGATGAGTGACTTTAATGAGGAAGATCAAAGTTCATGATCAATAATCCAGGTAATAAATCCAACAAAGTTCAGTCAGGTCATCTGGACGGTTTCTTCGTGTTGAAACGTTTCATCTTTCATCCAAAAGACTTCTTCACCTCGAGGAGCTGCAACAAACTCAGTCTCATAAGTAGCACGCTCACATAGTGGGGCAACCAGTTTGATGGTGATAAGATGGTTTCTGGAGCCCGTCCTCTTCCCTGTCGACTGATCGTTGATGTTTTGAACCGCTTTGGCTATGGCTGCCTCAACTACAGGGAAATTAAGTTGATGAGTCACACGATGAAGATCTGGGAGAGAGTTGTGGAAGCAAGACTTAGACAGCAGTATGGTTTCATGTTGAGAAAGAGCACCACAGACGCCATCTTTGCTGCGAGGATGCTGATGGGAGAAGTACAGAGAGGGTCTGAAAGAACTCCATTGTGTCTGTGGATTTTGAAAAAGCATATGACAGGAGGACAGCAGGACATGTATGAGGACAGCAGGACATGTATGAGGACAGCAGGACAGTGGTGAGATGTGCTGTAGGAGCGACAGATAGCTTCAATGTGGAGGTGGGAGTGCATCAAGGATCAGCTCTGAGCCCCTTCTTGTTTGCTCTGGTGATGGACCGACTAACAGATGAGGTCAGGCAAGAATCCCCGTGGACTATGATGTTTGCAGGTGACATTGTGATCTGTGGTGAGAACAGGGAACAGGTGGAAGAGAACTTGGAGAGGTGGAGGTTTGCACTGGAAAGAAGAGGAAGAAGGCTGAAAAAAAGTTTAAATTATTGCAAAAAATATCTGGAATTAGCTGACAAGGCTAAAATTTGTATAAAACAATTATACTGTAGCTGAAAGAAGCTGAAAGAAGCTGATGCAGAACAAAATGTGAAAGGCGCAGTAAAAGGTTGTAAACACATCTAAAGATTTGAAGGATGCGAAATGAGCTCAGTTCATCTTCTATGAGGAAAAAAATAGAAGTAAAGGCTAAATATCTAAAAAAAGCTAAAGTTGCACCAAAATCAAAAGTTATAGCGTCCTTCTCCTGAAAGAGCTGAACATTTTGATTTATGATTTGTTGAAATAGAACAAATCCTGTGAAACAAGAAAGATGCTGAAGAACATACTGAAGTTAAATGGATCTCTACAGAGTGACTGCTTCATGAACATTCAGACAACAACCAGAGTCCTCCTGTGATTATGTAATGTCAGCATAAATCCAGTGGCTCTGTGAGCCTTTGAGGTGTGTTACAGAACCATGAGGTTTAACAGCATCATGAAGACCAAGGACCATAGTCAGGCATAAAGTTGTTGAGATTGTGAAAGCAGGGTTAGGCGTAAATATTACAATCTTTGGATATCTCACTCTGTTCAAGCATGAATCCAAAATGTGGAAAAGTTCAAGGGTTATGAATACTTTGTTCAAGTTATTTAACTTTTTGTGTGTGAAACCAAGTTTCTTCTCCATTACAATGTTTCATTGAAAAGTATGTGAACTACTTATTGAGTATACACCTAGCTGGCCTCTGTTTAAATGTTTTTATCCTACAAGTGGTTGTTTTGTCTCTGTTCACACATTCCAACAGAAGCGCTGATGCAAGCTGCACCACGAGGTGGCCAGAACATCCCAGTTAAAGTCACATCAACATGTGGACAACGAACATAATTAGTTTTACAAAAGATTTTCCTGAAACACTTTTTAAACACTTTCCCCTCGGTTATTAAAAATTAAGCACACAGTCAAAATTTGATGGTGACAAAATCACAACAAAATATGGAAGACCCCCAAAAATGGTAAAGGACAAACAAACAAGTAGCTCCACATCTGTCCGGGTTTCTATAAACTGATGTGCGTGTTCGCTTGGATAAAAAGAACCGTCCAGATGACCTGACTGAACATTGTCGGGTTACTGAGCATGAACTCTGGTGTTTGAAGTCTGAGCCAAGTTTTCTGTCGTCTCTTCATTTCACCTTTTCTGTTTCACTAAGGTCATTGTGTTTGAGGAGCAAGAAGGAGACTACAAGGTCCACTTCGAGGACACGCCTGATCTGGGCATGGCAGCGGAAATCCAGTGACCATCTTCACATCTTCTGTGGGAATTATGCGCATTTGGTCATTTCATAAAGCGCTCATCATTAAATACAGAGATGCTGATGTTGGTAAGAGGATAGGTTGGATCTTTTGAGGACGCCACCGTGGACTTACAGAGAGAACGTCGTAGGTCGCTCCCTGTCCTGTCTGAGTGCAGCTCTCCCTGCATGTGTGCGTTTTCTCCAGACTCTCAAATTCCCTCTCGCAGATAAAAACATGTTTGTTAAGTTCACTGGTAACAATAAAATATCTGTTGGTGAGAGGGTGATGGGGTGGACTGGAGACATGTCCAGGGTGTCCCCCACCCCTCACACAGTGACTGCTGGATATGGACACCAGTGACCCAGAAAAGCGAATCTGGTGAAGAAAATGAATATATGGGTAAGACTGAGTTGTTGTTAGTAGTTACTATCTTACCTGCACCAGGCAGCTGACAAAACTATATCAGGTTGGAATATGATTTAGAGGAATTCAGCCTATTCAGAGCAGGACCAAGACTCAAACAGATGTGTGTCGTCTTAAAGCAACTCTGTTAAAAGTTTATGTGAAGTTCATATTAACAATATTTTCTAAAAGTCTGTTACTTTTCCTTTCATTAGACAGGTACATACCTGAAGTCTGTGGAGAATTTCCACACACTGTTATTGGTTATTTCCACTGAATGCTGAGTCATCTGTGGTCTGCATGTTCAGAGTAACTGGATAAAACAAAACATCTGGCACAAAAGTAATGCAGCATCACAACTAAATATTTCACAGTTGAAGTACATAAAATAAACATGTTCTGAATGATGAGCTGACTCTGGTACAGAGTGCAGGTGCTTCTGTCCTCACTGTAAATACGTATCCATTAATTGTCTAAAGCATCTCCCTGAATCACAGATGACATCAAATTTGAGATCGTGATAATCTGTTCCAAATGTTTTATAGATTAAAATCCATGAATTCAGTTTAGTTGATGTGTTTGTGTATTATGTTGTTTCTGTTGGACAGCAATCAATACATCATAGTTTGGGTTCAGTAACATTTAAAAGTTGGTCCAATTCTGATTTCCAGGATCACAATTCTTAACGAGTCATCCAGCAGAACAAGAACACATACAGAAAAGCAGGACCCCCCCCCCCCCCCCAACACACACACACACTTTAAAGTGGAGGTTCTAATGTTTCAAACTCACACTGTTTTTGACTGACAAGTATCCTTTTAGGAATGATTAATTCAAATATTATTTTAGTGACAAACTAAAAAAGTTATAAGCAACTGCAACATTCTGAACCCCTCTACTTCATCATATATATATATATATATATATATATATATATATATATATACTGTCACGAATCACGTCCCATAGATTATGTTTTCTGTCACCCTGATCACTCTTTATTTGCTATAGATCTTTTCTGTAAGTTTCATTTATTCTGTCCGCTCAGGTAATGTTTTGTGTACATGAGTTTTAGTTTGTCTTCTCTGGTTGAGGGTGATGTCACGGTTGTTTAGTTTTGTCTTCACTGCAGCCAGCAGCAGCTGATTGAACTCAACTGGCTGCACCTGTCTCTCTCACCCTTTAAAAGCTGCACTCTTTCTCCTCTTCGGTGCCCGGTAGTTGAAAACAGTTCTCTGCAAGTAGATACCTCGTGTTCTTGATCCTGCCTTGTTCCCCCGTAGCCTTTCATGTTCCCTTGTCATAGTTTACCTGTCTCCTCGTTCCTGTCCTGGTCCTGGTCCCTGTTCTCCCCTCTTGGCTTGATTTCCCAGCTCATGGACTCACCTGGACATCGTCTCTCGCTCGACCCTTTGGATTATTACGTCTTCTGCTTTCGGTTCTGACCTTCGCCTGCACGACTACGCCTCCTCGTCTTCTCCTCCGGTACCTCCTGTCTTCTGCTCTCCAGTTTTGGACCCAGGCTTGTGTGACCACGTCTCTTCTGTAGTGAACCTGATCTGACCCTGATCTGACCCTGATGACCTCAAATCTATCAGATGGACAGAGACTGTTATTTTCATTGATCTGAATACAGTCTGAGCCATCTGGTGACTTTCTTTCTTGAATTAATCAAGCAGAAAAGACAATTTTATAATCATCACTGTTTTACAAATGTTTGATAATCAAATTGTGTTAGTTCCATTCAATGCTTACAGGTTGAAGAGAACTACTCATTTTTATTTTACATAAACAGTAAGTAATGATTTTTATTCCTCATTCAAAGAAGAAATCAGGTTAATATGCATTTCTTGATTCTCTGTCTGAAATGAGCCAAGTAATGTAAGTATGTGAAAGTTGAAGCTTCGGTCAACTAAATGTTTACTGAAAAAGAAATGTCATGTTTTACTATTTGAGAAGATACAACAGCGTGAGACTCCACGAAGTCTGGTCGTCTGCAATAATCTTTTCTGTATGTTGAAAACAATCCTTGACTTATGATAACATCTTACATCACAAAAACACACCTCTTTCTGGTCCATCGACCAATCAAAAGCTCTCAAATGAACCGGAAGTCGACCCATTTTAAATGTGGCAACTTCCCAGTTCATGTTAGAAGGGAAGAGAATTCAGAAGAATTCCGGAGGATTCGAGAGTACAGAGTTGCTGACAATTAAGAGTCTGAAAAGTTCTGAAGAATGAAAGGAGTTCAGTATTCTTGGGTGCAAATGCATTCAAGATGGTCCAGAGACGTTTTGGAATTATAACTTCTGTTTGAACAAACCACACACGACTATCTAAGGATTTCAGCCGCTCTCAACGGAGACGCTGAAAGGTCTGGAGGATTCTCTATCGAGCTGATCTATCATCAACCAGGTAACGGTCTCTTCTTCGACTAAAGTGTACCGGAGGCGAGCTGAGATCTGATGAAGCGTGCACGTTCTGGTCAAACAGATTAATTCCCTCACATAGTTCTCTGTAAGATAAATCTCCATGTCATCTTAAAACTCTCCTCTTTCTCATAAAATCAGTACAGATATTTTAGAAATATCTGAAGCAAAGTCCTCGTTCACCGCAGAGTGATCGATGCTCATTTTCTGTGAAACTTGTCTGTTATTATTTTCATATTTTGCCAAATTAATGTAAATGTTTGATGTTAAACTTTGATTCTGAAAATAAATGACCGCATTCATTTTGATGGGTCAAAGATAAATGACGTCTCTCGTTACATTTCTGTTAAATTCAATGCACGACATTACACAGTCAGAAAGATGAGGAACTCGTGAATATTGTATCAATATATATCTCATATATTGTCATACTACAACTAGTGGCACGTACCCACGTGTTCACTACACTTCGCTCAACGGACTTACCACCCACCTGTCGCTGCAGCCCCTCACCGGACTCGGCCTCTCCTGCAGCGGTCCGGATCAGTTTGGACCTCGTCAGTCTCAGAACCTTCAAGCTCATCTGAGACGGTTAGTGGTCCTCCTCATTCTGACTCTTGCTCTCCATTATCTCCTGCACGACCACTAACCGATCTGTCTCATAGACTCGTTCCTGATCCAGAATCCAGAACTGGTCCAATCTGCTATACTTCACATTGAAAATAAATTTATAATTTAATTTTGACTTTTTGTGTGGTGACTTTGGTCCAACCGTTAGATGGTTATTTATGGTGCTAAGTACGACCTTTTACACTCCAAATGTGCAACACAAGCAGATTTCTATTACACAAGTTGTTCCTTGTAGCACTCATTCAGCTCTTTTTACAGCTTAAGTTCAGTAACAGCTGAAAGTATTTTTAAATCAGTTTGTTGTCTTGATTATTCTGTCCCTTTTCCTTGATGGTAACTGTTTCTATGCAGTGGAAACTGTAGATCAAGAATAGTCAAAACATATGTTTTCATATAACGTGAAAATCTTAAGTATTTTGTTTCGTATCTGCAGCTCACAGGGAGCTGTGTGAGACCTGGAGTGAGCTGAACAGACATTAAGTCGTCTTGAACTAAATTTGGCCCAAACACCAGTTCACAAGTCGTCACGCAGAATATTATCTTGAGTCTTTGCTGATTTTGCTCCTCGTTTGTTGATAAACCTGGAGTGAAATGTTTCAAACTGAAGCAGAGATCCACTCTGGTCCTGGATCATCTCAGACCAACAGACTGGCCATTCGCTTGTTGTCCTTCAGACAATGTGTGCCTGATTACCTTCTGCTGCAGGTAAGATACTGACTGTGGATAACGATGCGCATGACTTCCCTTCACAAAGTCTGAACCATCCTTTTCAAAGTCACAGCCAGTTTGTGATGCAGTGGATTCCAGATCCACAGTTGATGTTGAGCCCATGATCAGATTTAATCACCACCTTATCTATAAATCCCCCATCAGTCATCATTTCTGTTGTGGGGTGTCGGCTGTGAAATGATTAAATTTGTCTTCCTTGTATAAGTAAGATTTTATAACAAGTAATCCATTCATGGTGACCAATGAACCTAACGTCCATGTTTTTGGTTTGTGGGAGGAAACGAGAGTATCTGGAGAAAACCCACACATGAACAGAAACTCCACCCGTCTCCATCCCTATTCAATCTAGAACGGCCCCAGTCCAGGAGGTGATGCTGCGACCTTCTTGCTGAGAGGCAACAGCTCTGGCCACTGCTCCACCGTGCTGCCTTCTTGTGAAACAACAGTTTTATGGGACAATGTGACGTGAAACCGATTGAAACAACTTTGAAGTTGGATCACACGTCTTTTCAAAAGTGCTCCAGGCGTGTCAGTATGAACTGATCGAACGTTTCACAGTCCTGCAGAGACTCTAGATCTATAAAAGGCACAGAGTCAAGTGGTGTATGAAGTCAGTGCTTCCAAGCCATGCTATGAATAACTTATAATTTATTAATTCATTTATTCATGCTATGATTTATTTGAGCAACAGAAAGTCCACACTTCCATCTTTTAGAGTAATGGCTCCATTTTCCACAGATTTTTTTCCAAATCTAGTTCTCAAATACATAATAGTTTTTATTCACACTAACTGTATGGAGTCCTCTCTGGAA